AGGTAACTTTCATAAAATAACTTTTTGTCAAATTTTCACTGTATTCTGACAGTAGTACATGAGACAGATAATCTTCGAGCCAGAGAAACCTGATTTTATCTGTCTCATGTACAACTGCAAATATGACAAAAAGTTATTTTTTATAGAAATTACCTGCAGCTTTAAAGGAACCTTGAATTATAATAATATTATATTATATAATTATATATATAATTATATAATATTATTATTATATATATAATATATATTGAGACAAATAAATAAGATAAATAATGCTGATGAACCACAAATCCCATGAAAAGGACAAAACCATTTACAATTAATGGATCCCATACCTTTATTACCATGAACACACAAGTTTATTTTGACTCAATCCCACATATACCGTCCTGCTGCCCCAAATACTCACTACAGCACCAAATGTGGATTAATTGACTGCTGGAAGTCTAAGTCTCACTAAGTCCACAGCACATGCACTATTTACTCTTGTTTGAGTTTGTTAAAAATTTTGTTTTTTAGAAAATGAATCTATATATTTGTGTGGCGTCGTAGAAACCAGTGGGAATGGGGCTGAGAACCACAGGCATGGAAGTCAGGAAGTACTGAGACTAACACATTGTTGATTCTGGTCTTTCATGGGATTTGTTGACACTAAGAAAAATACAGAACAATCCTAGTTTTATTCTTTGATGGAATTATTTATGTTACTGCTGTGTTTGGATGTTTTTAATAATCGCAATGCATCAGTAGATGCAGGATACGAACCACAGGGGAGCCAGGGGGAGCTGGGCTCCTCTTAATAAGACATGAGTTCCCCTGAAAACTTGATTTGTAAAGTTTTGGGGGGTCTCTAAAATATTGACAATATGCTATTTTTGCCATGTATTTTTATTTTTCTATTTCTGTAAAGTTGGGCTACTGTTGATGTATGATTTGTGCTTTAGGGTGATTCATCACTAATTCACTTTAATAAACATACTACTATTCTTACTGTCACCATTGAAGCATGGCAGCACATGGACCTTGAAATTCTGTACAGACATTTATGGTGCCCAGAGGATCACTCCTATTGATGATCCCTTAACTTTTCAGCAGGTCAGTTTGACCTACACCTATTGTGAAATATCTCAGCATAGGCTAAACATGGTGGTTCAACATAGCAGATCCGTAGAACAGATAAAAGATAAAAAGATAAAAAGAGTTCATTCTAAGGTAACACAATGATTATTATATTCAGGTGATTACACACTAATGAAAACAGTGACTGTACTTTGCTGCCAATTGATTTATGTTTTTAAAATTGTAATACGAGCTGTTTCCTGACCATTTATAAATATGGGGAACAAAATGGATTGGTTTTAATTTTAATTTTTAATTTTCTGTTTTTTTATTTTAAAACAAACGAAATGTGCATCAGATCCTGAAGTTGGAGCACTGAGTGTTATTTCCACACATGCCTCTGGGATTGTAGGCACAGTGCAAAGTCTGTACACAGCCACACACTTACCATGTGATATTCAGGACAGCAGGAGGTTTCCTATCAGGTTCGGTGTCTCTGTGGACCTCCCCTCACATGCCAGGGTTTATCCAGCCCCCCTGAACCCCCCTTCACTGCCACTTTAACACCTTCAGCCTGAATTTATTTACAGTATATTCTCTCTCTCCTGTCTCTGTCCTGTCCCAGTCTATCTCTGGCCACAGTTTCACCATCTACTCTCTTTTACATGCTTGTCAAATTATTCCTTCCTCCTCTTCTTCTCCTCTTTTCCCTTGCTGCTCCCGACCACCATCTGCTATGTCTGTGTGCCATGTGGAGCCTTACCAGTCTCCCATCAGCATCCCTCCCTCAGCATCCCTTCTTTTCCTCTTTAAATAAATATAAATATGGGATCTCTCTTGGGAATGCCACAGATTGTTTATCACTCGCTTTGTTGATAAGAAACTATAAATAGACTGATGCAGAACTCAGTCAGGAACTTTACCTTCCTTCCTGTGGCCTATATAAGCACTAATGAGGCTAGGTTATGAAATATGTTATTGTTTCTTCCTCCACTTAAAGAGCAGCTGGGAACAGATGTGGCACAGAAGGACCACCAACCTGTCTTTAGTCTGAACTTTCTGTTAGTCCCTGAGGACTGTTGGCAGCTGGGTCTGCACTTGTGTTCTCTCTGGTCTGACTTCTCTCTGTCCCTCCCCTTTCCTATTTACACCTATCCTATCAAATAAAGGAATAAAAAGCAAAAAAAAAAAAAACGGGAGCAAAACCTGGCAAGAAAAGCACCTCGGTACTGTATTCTCTGTCATTGAACTGGCCTCCATTGGCATCAGATGCTGTGTCCACTAGGAGCTCCCAGTCCAGCAGAGTCAGCTATAGGTCTGCTATAGCTGCATGCAAGGGGATGTAATGCACATTCAGTGCTATTGGTTACCGTCCTTCCCTAGCTGCCTGTTTTTACAGTATATAAATATGCAGAAGCAAAAACAACACTACCGGTTCTATTTGATGGGGACTTTAAGATCGTCTGTTGGACACAAGGCTTCAGGTTTCTACAACGCACTGTACAAGTTGCATACTGGACCAGGACTGACTTAACCTAACCTAACTATTTGTGGTCAAATAACAAATCATGCTGGTAGGCCCCGCCCCTTAAAAATCAGATTTATAATGAGCACAGAGAAACTTTTCACTTTCAGCAGATGAATGAGAAAACATCATTCTAGTCAAACTCTGCACAGACAGCATTCAAACAGCACACTGTAGGGACAAGGGGAAAACTCTGCCTGAGTTCTGTCAGACAGAGTTTCATCAGCAATGGTGGTTGTTGAACAAACAAGACAACTCCCATGATCCCACTACTTCATGATTATCAAACTATGTCTTTTGTTACTGTTTTGATGTGAGAGAGACCCTCAATGGGCAGAAAAGAGGGCAAGATAAAACAAAAAGATTGGCACAGAGATCAGCTCTGTCACACAATATTATATAGTAATGTTTGTTACCAGTGTTATTGTAGAAGTACACAAAGAACTTGTCTTCAAGTGTGGATAGTTTTTTCAGTTAGTGTTTAGAGAATTGGTAAAAGAGAAAAAAATGAATGTGCTGTTTGTGTGTTTGAGACATAATTAGCTTTGTTCGCTCTGTAAGTCAGTCAAGTTAGCCAGACACCAAAAGTTTTTGTGCTGTTGATTTATAATGAATGGCACTAATGGCCGAGAAAAACTGTGATTTTGTTTGTAACAGAGAAAAGATAATAATGATCCACACTAACTGTGGACAGACTGATCTTCATACTCTGTCTGCTTACATACAGCATGGGAAAATAACATTTGAGCACTGGACGGATTTGTCTTTTTTTGCCATGATTATACCTCTTCCTAACAGTTAAATGTTGCGTTTGTTGTCTGCAGCTATGGAGGAGCTGGATGGGGATGAGGTCAGAGTGTCATCCAGGGGACGCTTTGCTGAGAGAGACATTGTCCAGGTATCGTATACCCTGTCCTTTAACCCTCATGAGTCACAGATTTAGATTTTGTTCTATTTCACCATAGACATATCTGGGGAGGGGGATATCTTTGACAAAGACAAAGGTCCATATTAGAGTTTTCAACTAGAAAACAAGACTGTATAAAAAGCTGGAGAAGCTGATGATTTCTTGTACTTACATATGCTATGTGCTAGGCTAATCTCTGTTTAATCTACATTTTGATGGTTAAAAAATAGAAGTGACATATATTGACATCTGAAATTAGCTAATTAACGATTTATGTAAATTTACTATCTAGCATCTTGCTAACATTAGATTTAAAATCTAACTAGCTAGCTAACAATGGATGTAGATTAGCTAGCTAGGTAGCTAGCTTGCTAACATTAGCTTAAAGGTCAAGTGTGTAACATTTAGGAGGAGCTGTTCACCTGGGTCACCTTAAACTGTCATATTTCTACAGTAGCCAAGAACGGACAAACCAAACTCCTGGCTCCTTTCAAATGTTTTACGGCACCATAGTTTCTCCTACAAACTTCACAGCCCGTTCTCAATCCCAGGTCGTCAAATCTAGACGTTGCAAAAACTATGCCACTAAATCCTTCACACTGGTCCTTAAAGATGTGACTATTGCTCTTTATCTTTTAAAATGTGGTTTTCTTCTCAACATTAAACAGTTAATTAAATAAATTCAACTTGTTTTCAATAGCCGTTGCTAACTGTATACCAACAAGCACTCGGTAAACAATTTCACAAATACCAAATGTAAGAAAATTTCCCCATCATTATCCTATCATCATCCATTTCCTGCTTTTCTCACGCAGTTCGTACCTTTCCGGGACTACATTGACCGTTCAGGGAACCAGGTCCTGAGCATGGCCCGACTGGCTAAGGATGTCCTGGCGGAGATCCCGGACCAGCTGCTGTCCTTCATGAAAAGTCGAGGGATTGAACCCCGGCCCCCTCTGCCAGCCACCTCCGACTCCCCCTCAATGTCCACCACCACCACGACCACCACTGCTGCCCCCAAGGAACGCAACATGCACACCTGAAATGAGGGCAGCAAGCAGTATGTGTGTGTTTGTGTCTCTGTGTGTACGTGTGTTGCATGGTTTCAGGGTTGGTTGACAGGAACCAAGTCAGGATTTTGAAGTAAATTGAAAGGGACCAGGAGATTTACCAGGAGAGAATACATTCCTTTAAAAGTGTTGGTGGTGAGGACTCCCCCCCTCAACAAGATCTATATTTTAACATTTCTGGCACACGCCCTCTGCAGGTGCAACACACCACTCTGCACTCACCCACAAACTGCATTTAAATCAAAGGCTTCAAATGTAGTTTAACACACCTCAGTCATCAATTCTAACATTTCAAATAAGTGACAAAAGCCTCTACGGACCTTTTTGCCAGTCCAGGGCTCCGCCCACCACACCTGTGGCACTGTTCCTGCTCTCAGTGATAAGGTCTGCTGTAATAGAGTAATAAATCCTGTAGCCGGGAAATTGATTTCTATTAGTTGTAAAGAGAGACAGCACTGAGGCTGATGTCCTTTCCTTGTTTGTTGGTTCTCAGGGCATTTGAGAGGCTAGACAGCAACACAGGGGATCTGAAAATAGAGAAAGCAGAAATTAAATCCTGTCCTGGCTGTGGCATCTGAGAGCCAGTGTTTGTTTTATTGCTTCATGAAAATTAATGCTGTATATTACTGTGTGCTGAACATGAAATTCGAATGTGTTTTATGTAAAAGGCCAGCGAACATTAAGTCAAAGATGGAGCATCGACTTGTCCAAACTAATCCCATTCGGACTCAAAGGACCTCTTGCAAGGACCTCCTGAAAGCACGAAATATATAAGCCATGAAATTGGTTTGGGACAGAGAACAGACTGAAAGCTGAACATAACCATGTACCC